GTTCGCCCAGACGTGGAACAAGCTGGTTGGCGGAATGAGAGGCGTCAGGACAGCTGTGTACATGTACGCTTCCACCACAAACACCTCCATGTCTCTCGGAGCCTTGAAAGGCCGCGCCATTTTGGATTCGGACAGTTCCTTGAGGATCATGGCCGCCAGGAAGTCTGACGGGGGTCTGTACGTGTTGAGTAGTGTGTTAGATGTGGTGGGACAGGAGGATCACTACGTACGGCTCAACATACTGGGTAAGATATGATGCGCTTTTAGTAACTTAACACCCAAACAGGGCAAGTAGCACTAGTACTGGCCGTGTATTTTCAGTTATGTTTAAAGCAACCAAATTCAATGTAAAATAGCTTTGGAAGTAGAGTAGGCATTATGGGATGTGGTGACAATGACGAATATCAGATTACTTTACTTTACTTTACATTACTTTTAACTTTACTTTACTTTACTTTACTTTGTAAATTACTTAACTTTATAAAAAATGCAACAAGGCATGACAAATGTGGTAGCCAGGCAGCTATAGTGGCTACCGCTGACAGGTATAAGACGAACTTTGATAAACAAGCTTGCAAGGCCCATTCTAATGGGAAGCTATCAAAGCATATTCATTTCATGTTTGCTTTTAGAAACGGCTCTTGTCGATATCCGGCATCATGTTTGGTGAAAGCCAGGAGATCTAGTACAGCCGGTAGATCCGGTCAGTTTTAGAAAATGGCCTCTCTTCCAAAACCAATTCATATCTCACATTGCGTGATGAACTGGCGCCATGTAGGTCATTGCTGTAAGATTGATTTTTCTGTTTGATGATGGGATTCACTAAATGTGTATGTGTGTGTGTGTGTGTGTGTGTGTGTGTGTGTGTGTGTGTGTGTGTGTGTGCGTGATGCTTTTTTTCAACTGCTAACGAAAGTCATTTAGAAGTACAAACTCTTATGCAGGTATTCAAATCATTGTAGAATAATATCTAAAACCAAACAATCCGAAGGCTTCTCTAAATAATTCACAGTCATGAGAACAGAGATCTTTACGATGTAGTAAAAAAGCCTGACGGGCGTGACTCGATGATGATCAATGCGTCTCCCCGGATGTATTGACCTAAGGTGGCTCGCGAGCAGGCAGATATATGGCCATTGAGGTTGGCAGCCATATGTTGGAAGACGAAGATGCTGGTAGCGCAGGTGGTTGCTAACACGTAAGACATCACTCCCGTTTGTCCCCGGCATTTATGACAATCTGCTCTCTTATGTTAAAGGTTTACAGGTAATACCGTACGTCGTATATCTTCCCTCTCAACTCATACATTTTCCACAGATCCAGGGAAACTACATGTCTGCTTACGCCAAAAACAGTTACTCAGGCAACTGGATATGACTTGTTTGAATAACTGTTTTGGGCTTGATCCGGAGTTAATCTTATAAATTAGTACCTAGATGTCTAACATTCACCCACGTACATGTCGTCTTGTATTATCATTCCAAACGACATCATATCATCGGATCCTCATGTCATAACCAATGTATAAGGATTTGTAGCTAAGAATCTAAGACGGGGACAATTACGTCATATCTCGCGAGACTTTGCAAATATAATTCTGACCGTCCCTGAAAAAAATTTAAAAACTGTAATGTGATGTATGGATATAAATTTTGTCTAGTTTGTACCGGGATGTTTGTGTGGTCTCCGGAAATTGTTTTATTGCTTTATCTACCGACCTTGATTTTGTCATAAAATGCATAGGGGAGGTGGATCAAATCACTAAGCAGAATTGGTTTTCACTGCATATACATTGAAAACTGAAGGGCATTTATGAGCAATAGGTTATAGCCATGTGTTTTGCACCCAAAACACGTCCGGTCAGTTTCAATTTCATATGGCGAGATGACAAGTATGTAGGATGAATTACCTACAGAGATGGCAATAAGGTCATTAGCTATGGAGCATGACAAGAACAAATAAAGGATACACATGAATCTGTTGGACGCGTGCCTTTATCTACGCAGATGGCAGGGGTGAATAGAATAGTTACCAGCTTGGTATGGCCCAGCAAGCGTGCAAATTGCCTCATGGTTCCACATCAAACGCAATCGATTCAGACAAAGGATTAAGAGAACGTGCAAAGTAAAAATGCAAATGCTAAGTTGCACTAGCGAGGTTACTTCATAGATGGAAAGTGCATTTGGTATTTCTCAAAGTAATCATTCTTGTGCTGTGGGCATGAGTGAGTAGGTTCATTCTGATATGGTGTGGTGTGGTGTGGTGAATCTGTCATATTGGTAACTGGTGTTCGATTACATAATGTTGCAATTTTATAGTAGAAGGGATTTTTACTCCTGTCTGACCATGGCCATATATATGAATGTATTTGAGTAAGAATTAACAGAGCAGAACATATGCGAAGGTAAACATTATAATGCATTTGCTTTGCAAATGTTACCTTTCTAGTTTGGGGTGATGTTTTGGTAACTGTAAATAAGTAATGGTGACATTTGACTGTTGTACTAAAGCTTTTGTGAACACATTTTGTTTTCCAGTTTTGCCAACCGTCCGTATAACCTCGAAGAGGCCAGTTGTTGCCATGGAACACTCTTCAGTCATCTTAAACTGTACCGTCAACCACACCAGTTCTCTCACCTCTCCGCCATATTGGGAAAGTGACCAACTCAAAGATGTCTCCCCCCACTTTCTTGGCAACATGGAGTCAGACGATAACTACTCGCCGTGGCTGTTCCTCCCCAAAGTCTCGCGAGAACGCGCGGGAAACTACTCGTGCGTAGCCGATCACGTGATGGGCACGACTTCTGACAGCCTCTACGTGACAGTCCTCTGTGAGTGGTTTATTAAGTTGCAACTCAGTGTTTCCTGCTGATTGACCGCCTTCAATTGTTGGTGGACGGTCAATACTTTAAGCCTCCTCTCTATAATTTGTTAACGGTTTTCCATACTCTCAAATTAGGAATTCTGTCTGCTTTGGAAAGACGGACGGGAGAGGATTTACTCAAATCAATTCAATTATACGTTTTGGGTCCCAGCGGATGCAATCATACATAAGGAATACGGCTCAAAGCCCCAGCCCAAAACTAACAGAATAGAATGCATAATGTTGCATTGTGAGCAACTTTGCCATAGTTTGCAAGCGCTGCCACTACAGACTCGGTAACATAGCGGGCTATGTATTACCAGATATTCCATCCTACTGCATCAAGTTGTTATATCAAGGACCGTGACCACAAATTGTTAATGTATTGACTTGCAGTATGAGAGGGATTTGTTGCATTTCCGTTACGTGGTCACACATACATCGAGAACCAAAGCTTGTAATCCTTGCCAACAGGTTTAGAATCACCTAAGATAACAGTCTCGAAAAGGAGATCTTATCCCGTAAAATTATTGAAAGCAAGTCTGTAGAATTTATGTGGCAGTATTACCAAGGAAAGCTGTGCTGTCAATGCCAGAAATGGGGTGATTATTCATTTCCAGTAATCTCATATCCTCCAATTCTTCATTTCCGTAAATACTCCTCAGGGCAAAACCATGTCATTGGATTTTTGCGATGCATCCCTTGCTCGATGATAATTACAGAATTTGAAGCCAGCCAGATACACGTAGATACTTGTGCACTCCGGATTGAAACAGGGAGGCAGCACACAGTATCTGCTGCAGAGAGATAAAATAGTTTCGACTCCAGTTCGAAAAACGTCTGTCTTAACTTCCTAGTTCACTTCGCTTCCTATATCCGTTAAGCCGATTAACTGGACGAAATCATCACATGGAAATTAATAATGTTCAATCACACCTGAGGCTATTATTCATTAGATTCAAATGGAATTAGACTATGTGAAGCACATTGGGAAATTTATCATAAGGTCTCACCAACATACAACCCTTTGCATGTGTTTCTACGTTGAGTTCCTGTATTCAATATAGGGGTATATCTAAAGAGTTCCTATTAATACCTGTACAAAATTACTAGCCAACATACAAGCTCACTATCAGACTCACTATCAAGGCCGATGCTACTCAGTGCAATTTGTTTTGCAGACTAGTTATGACTTGAAAGAAATTTGTCATTGGGTGCACAGTGCTGATTCATCATTATAATCTATTATAGTGGATGATTTATTGGAAAAGTCATCTCTGGAGAAAACGTGATTCATCAGTCCGCAAATGATAGGATAACATATTACCCTCATGTCAAATTCGTTTGCTGACAATTGATGATTACACTGATGCGTCCTACGTATGGTGTGTGTTGGGATGTGAGAGGTTATGATACATTGTAGGTCAACTGAACCTGTACCTTGCCCTGTTTACAATGGTGTTTGCAACGTGCTTTTCATCCGTTGATAACTGCGTTGACCTTTTTAATCCAGGTTGCTTTGAGAGTATCAATGTCGTCTTGATACACATGGAATAGTTTCAGAAAATAAGGAAAGTACTTTTGTTATGTTTTTCTCGCCCCAGACCCAGCAAAAATTGTGGAAATCGTCGAGGACAACAGAGACAGCGACAACGTGGTTCTTCAGTGCCTTGCGGAAGGCAGCCCGTCGCCGCGGGTAGCCTGGTACCGAGGCTACAGCACGCAGCCCATCGTCACCGCTACGGGCACGGGAACGTCCCAGCGCCTGGGCCTGGTGCTGTCCAAACACCACAATACGACCAGCGGGCAGTACAGGTGCGAGACTACCAACGGGCTCTCCGGAAAGGACTCCAAATCTGTTTACGTCTCGATTTTCCAGAAAGCTGTCACCGTCGTAAAAGCTGCTGAAAGCACAGGTAGTATCAGTACTTCATAAATTCAAAAATCTTGGCTTATAGTTGGCACTGTATAGTCTCCTTTGAGACCAAACTGTACATACATATTTATACACAGGGGCTAGGAATGGCGTCCATCGCGATATAGCTTCGAGAATCTGAAGAGCATCAGTGTCAAGACTGCTCCCTCAAAGTTCCGAACTCTGAGTGTGTTTTATCACATCACGTCCTGTACCGTCATTTGATTCAAATCTCACAAAGCCGCAAACATGCCAGCCAACCTGTCTGGTGCATCGGGTGATCCATTAAAAGCTTCTTCATGTCAGATCTAGAGGCCTACATGGAGCTTATTCCACGGCTCGGTCTAGATTTTAAAGTTCCCCTGTTGAGTCCTGTAACATCCTCGGACCTCTTTAAAGAGGTTCACTGACACAATATCTCTGGTAGATCTAAGCAACCCAACGAACTTTTATTGGCAGTAACAAAGCTTTTATGTGGTTGTACATATAAATTTGTATGCTGGTAAATGGGATGAGACATTGGTCCTTAAATTATATTTGCTTTATGTTTCCCGGTAGGAATTATCCGTGTTCAGGAGGGAAGTCTACTGCAAGTGATCACCTTCACGGGCATCGCAGCGGCATCATTGTGTCTACTTCTGGTGGTCCTTCTGGCTGGGTTCATATTCTGTCGGAGGAGACCACAGCTGCAGCAGCAGGAGGCAATGGAGTACATGGATAACCCCAGACAGCCGGAGTACATTCCCATGGAACACGTGCAGAATAACACGTCACTTCCGGTCAACTCTCACTATGAGCCCGTGGATGAGGATGTGACGTCATCTTCAGACATGTTAGATTCCCCACTTCCGACACAGAACGGCATGGCATATCAGTGCAGTAAGTTGTCATAATTCATAACTCTTTTCACAGTCGTTGAACATCATAATTTGACCACGTTATGCAACACTGGTAGTAACTAGTGAAGTACCTAAGTATCTAACTTATATAATAAAGGCTCTGCTGTAAGTTCCTGTCCTCACTTTACCTTTTGATATTTTGTACAGGGACTTTTTACGCCAAGGTCATTGTGCCGTACTTCTCACATCAGCCTGGATTTCTGTCGCTGGATATCAATGACTACGTGGAGGTTGTGGATCAAACCTCATCAGGCTGGGTTTACGGGTCTATCGGGGACAGATCCGGAGTGTTTCCCGCTACATGTGTGGAACCGATCAACAGGACCGACAAACGGAGGAAGAAGAGAGGCAGTTTTGGAGACAGGCGAGCACGAGAGACACCCCTGTTGGTCCAGCTTTCTCGCAAGGCAGCGGATGACAATAAATTCCACATGGGGGACGATCATCATCAGGACCATTGTAGCAAACAGAATTCTTCAGGATCTTGAAACTCAATCCTTTGTGTTCTGAGGCCGGGTAAAATTTCTGTTTTCGCTGTGACCCATTGCCTCTGCCGTCAGTACCTTCCACAGAGAAGTACAATGCATGTGTGTGCATCCGTGTGGTCATCCTTTTGCCGACGACTGTCCTCCGCAACTGTTACTGCCTTATATCATTGTGTAAGCCAAGGACGTGACAAAGACAACGTTTGGAGCCGTGATGGAATCTGTTCAGACGCTGGAATGGAGAATCTACAAGGTTTGTTTGTTTGTTTGTTTGTTTGGTGTTTGTTTGTTTGTTTGTTTGTTTGTTGCGTCTCAACATCGGAGTTACTTGCGCCAAAAAAACAGTTTGACTAAATTGCATAATTTTCCAGCAATGTTTGACAATGGTAGAAATGCTTTGATTTAGTTGCTGTTAACGAAAATTGATTTTCTTCTTCAAATCTTCTAATGACATTATTTGTGCTTTCAACAAGGAACCTACTAGGAAGAATATATTATGTGTCGAGTCCAAAACTGCAAGGAGGTGGCAACTTGAACCAACCTCTCTGACACAGACATATAAGGAAGGGTAAAAAGGTAATACTTGACTATCCGATTCTTCCTGAGGTTTGCGAATATAGCCATTGCATGCAATACTATATGCATGGAACAGTATCATTCAATCGTGGAAGCATAGATAATGCGACCTTACATCTAACTTGATCATCCAGGACACATTCTATTAAACTTGACTTACGGTGACCCTGATTTATTTCCCTAGTTTGCCATTCTGGTTATTTCATAACCATGATCATTCTTAACACTGCAGATCCAGTGCTGTTGCTCCAGGAATATACAGTGACATCCTGGTACAAGACGTCGTCAAGAAAAGTGTTATGTAATTCAAAGTACGTCTTCTGTCTACGTTCGAGTGATTACAAGAATTTGTCTGGGTGGAGGTAGCATCTTCGTTGTGTAAAAACATATCAAATCATTTTCCTTCAATATTCAAGTTCCTGCACCAGTGTCGACTGTCCACTTTATCATCGGCTCCTTACATGAAGGTTGTTATACATACTACTTAGTATTCACTGTGCCTGTTGGAGACCACAGCAAAGTACCCACAGTGAAGATAACACAGTGTCAGCCTCGAGCCTGTATTTTATGGTGGGCCACTCAATCAAAAAAATATCTGACAAAAGGGCACCGTTACGTTTGCAGCCCCCAGAAGTTATACTAGCTTTGGTTCAGTAATTGTCCTATAATCTACCATTAACAGTCGGTCCTTGGGGTGTGATTAGATGGGAAAGTCTATATCACTGAAGGGAAGATAATTTCCCTGCTATCAATACTTTGACGACTTTTTATGACGCCATTATGTGACTAATTGGTAGGTATCATGTTGAATCTGTTGAATCATAGGAGATAATGAGCAATGAAGCCGTTTAGCTTAACGTCGACCAATTTCCATTCTTTGTTTTTCATTAATCTATACTTAACAAGCATCTTCCCACTAAAGACGTTGTATCCCTTCACTCAACTTTACGAATGAAAACCTTTGTTTATTGCCATCCAATAAACATGTAATGATTGGTTGACAGGATAAGTGGTTATCCAACAGCTTTATAACATTTGTTTAGTGTACACGCTGTCGGTAATACCGTGTGATTGTTGTGTTCAATTATATCTATGAAAGTTTTTGATGCTACGGTTTTGTGACGAATAAATTTTGCTTCTGTAACACCATCTGTTGTCTGCATGCTGAGCAGATTCTTTAGTTGTACCTTCACATTCACCCCAAATATAACGCATTGGTCTGCCTGTAGACACTTGTTATCTATAATCATTACACATGACGGTTCACATGTTCAAACGGTACTTGAGATAAGCTGTTACACAAGCAAGATGGATAGCTACTCTGATAGTGAAAGCTAGACATCATTCAATGGTTCACAACATGAAGTGTGTGGACGTCAAAGGCATTTAATGTTTGTGGTGAGAAACTCCGAGCTCTTGCAGACTGTATTGCCTAGTACCAAGATCAATACCAATTCCTATAACACTATTATCAATCGCCATGCTGGAGCCACCAGAGTTGTATATGATTCATTCCGTGTAATATTTGAATGCATTATCTCTACTGTTGCTTCTTAAACGGGATTATATGATTCACATTCCGTGCCTTTTGCCCTTTAATACGCATGTAGCTGTTATCTGCATGGATCATTGAAAATGTGTGTTATGTCTCTCTTGGACACGAAATAGTCATTAAGATGTAGCCGATATAGAGCACAAATGTTTTAGAGGTGGTCATTTCCCCTTATGACCTGGTAGCTGGTCGTTTGAATGTAAGTGCAATATCTTTATGATATGATTTTGAAGGAAATAACGACTTTATGAATAATACAGGTCACATGTCGTGTTCTTTAGAGCTCATTCATTCACAGTTCTTCTATCCACAAAGAAGAGCGTAATATCTATCCCAGCTACGTTCACGAACATAAAGGAACATATCGTGAAACAAAGAATCAATCCACATGTGAAGTGATTGGGCGGGCGAACATACCGTAAAATAACGGTGATGTACATGGCAGCATATAAATGAGTTAAGCACAAATGTTTCATCCACAAGATCAGGAAAACATGAACATTTTCATCATTACCGCTCAAATGTTTCAGCAAGCAAGCGAGCTACTGTATTCGATGGACGTAGATCAGTCGAGATGAGATGCCACTTTAGCCCAACGGTCCCCTGTGATATGAATCTAAGAATACATCTCCCAGCAGAGCGCAACAATATATTGCAGCCGGCTTTCAGCGAAACACATCAATTGATGGCATTGCTCTTTCGAAAAACAACAGAATGGAAGCAATCAATGGTAGTTGGAGGACACATACGTACCTGTACACGTATGTAGCCTACCTATGTATGTAGCAGGTGAAACTAAAAGCGTACGAGCTGTTGGAAGGAACAAGGAAGCCTTGGCAAAAGACATACAACATCTAATAATGCTGAGGTCACATTTCCGAACCAGGGCCCGGCCGGGTAGTCTTATGGAACGAAAAATAAACATAAAAAAGTTTTTAAAAAATAATGGAACTATTTGCGTATATTCTTGATTAAAAAATTGTTGATTTGTCGAGTTCAGCATAACTCGAGTTCCTATCTTGGTCGTACCCTGGTGTTTTAAGTGGATTAGCCAGATATTTCTGTAGAATGTACGCTCGTTACAATTTATCCACAGGGCATCAGTCATCAGTTTAATGAAATCAGGAATGAACACCTGGAGATATAATTGGATCATGTAATACATTAAGGGATAAATTTCGTAGTTAAGAGGAATATTAATTACTTTTCTCTCCTGGTCCCGGTAATCCAAAGGGAAATTTTTAGTTCTCGACCTCATTATAATAATTGCCCTAGAGATCTATTGGGTAGGAAAGGGGCTATAATTAAATGATAAAACTCTGTTGTTGGTGATTTCCCATTGATGAACCTTCTGTTGACGAAAACTCAATGGAGATTGCTAATGACATTACTAATCCACGGTTGTCAACACTGGTCCTATCTTTGCTAAGCTGTAGGTAATTTTCATTTTGATATGAGTTGTTAAAATTGTGCTGAACACAACGCCATATTTGTCAACATAGTTATGTTGGAAACAACATAATCTTGTCGAGTTTTATCACAGGTAGTCACCCAGCAATGTTGAGATCACACACACGATATGGTTGGATAAATTATTGAGAAGGTGAAAGGACACAGTACGTTTGAATATTGCTCTATATTACGTATCAGGGGCATACGAGTTACAATCGCTTGAAGCTAGGTATACACATACCAATGCTGTTGATGACATTAACCATATGAATGTGATGATGGCATTGTGGAATGTGGGCATTTCGAAGTGAGTGCGTGGTGTGTTATATGTACTTGTACCTTCGTGGGGAGGGGGGCATTGTCTTTCGGCAACCGGCAGTCAACAGCTTTATAATATGATGTGAGACACAAGATGCAATGACACCTAGCTCTCTAAACATTTGTAGACCGTACCATACCAAAACCATACTTACACCTAAAATAGACACCTAAATCAGTTAACTGACATTGATAACTTCTGGCTGGTAAAATTCTTGCCGCCAAAACTGTTCCGTCACCTTTGACCCCTTGGTGATAGAGGTCACTTGACCTGACCTGATTACTCAATAACGTGCCAGTTGTCCAAACTGTCGAGCTCGGAATTGTTCCCGACATAATGATGGTTTTCAGCGATTTACGTGTACCAGGCTTGAAAAAGGGGGCCAAATCTGCCATAATCTCTTGCATATAAATCCCCAAGCATTTGTCTCTGAATGACTATCTATATGCCAATGGAAACGTTACAATGTTCCAGACTGTTCTTCGGGGTAGCAAATAACTTGAAGCAATCTAAATCTAAAGTCCATACTGACAATATGTTTACAGAAACGGTAAATGATTAAAGGCATCCAATGCAATTTCTTGGCGGCAAAGCAATGAGGAAACCCTGTTTGGTATTTACTGTCATTTCTTAGTACATTTTTTCATAATTTCATGCTTCAAGCAGTAGAAATAGCCCCAAAACAAGATACATGACGTCTCGCCTTATTTTGTAGATACATGTACCACACATGAATAGCTATCACCAGCCTACGAAACAAAACAAGCAACCGTTTTCTGTCAGCAATATCGCATTTTTGCATCACGGACATCAGTATGCTACACGATAGGACTGATTGAACTTGATACATTAAAAGAATGACCAGAAAATTGACTTTGAAAATCCAGTTTTGCCGCCCTGAAATTGCACCGGATGCCTTTAAGCATGTGGATCACGTCCTCAATTTTTAGCATCCTCAAAATTAGACAAATAAAAGACAAGCGCACTGTCATTAATGTACGTAAATACGGATGGCTGGGATCCATTAAAAGACCGACATATGGTAAATAAAAATGTACCGGGACCGAGCGCTCACAGCACGTGGCTGATTGCCCTGGAAGATTTTTCTCCGAAAAGTA